GGGCCTGAGTGTTGCAAGCAAGAGTGCTTTGTCAGTTAGGTTCGATTCACTCAGTACCCGCAGTGCTGAACAAAGCAAACATCGCTTGGGCCCTTGAGGGGCCTCAGCAAGTGAGGGACCTCGACATTAAACAGATAGCCACAGATTGTGATAACGGGTCATGAAAGATGGGATTTTATCTGAAAGAATTACATGCAAAGTGAGGAAGTGACATTTAAGCTAAAACCTAAACGTTACGTACGTTAAGTACCATAGTCAGAGCTGCTGTATTGTGTGTTTGGGAGTATAAGAGAATATATGAAAATACCAGATGGCAAAGAGAATAGGGTTTGAGGAACAGAGAAGCCAGTGCGGCTACATGTAGCAGAGCAAGCAAGCAGTCGAGCTAAGAGGGAGTCAGGAGCCAGATTATGAATGGGATTTTCTCCTAAAATCGATAGGACGCTATCCTAGGTTTCTGTGCAGAAAAGTGACGTGCTGAGATTTATGTGATACAAAGATCAATCCGGTTGCCGTGTGAGTGGTCTGATGGGGCTGGGGACAGAGGGAGAGAGTGTGGATTCAGGAACTCTAGTCAGGCTAACACCCTAGGATGGGGGCATCCTGAAGCTACCGGGGACAGGACTGGAAAGGTGGAAAATGAAGGGAGCACTTTGCAGTTAGAGCCAAGTGGAGGTGTTAAGTAGACAGTATCTAGGTCTGGAGATTCGAGTGCAAGGCCGTGTCGTGTGGGACTGTCTTGCTCATCCCTTACTGGCCCCGCCTAGAGCAGTCTCTGGCCCGTGGTAGGTCACCTTGTTGAGTGATTGAGACTGTCCACATCCAAAAAAGCCTAGATGAGACTATGCTCATCTTAAGTGACAATTTCTCTTATATTTTCTTGCATTACCTCTAAAAGACAGAGCCAGCAAAGCGGTGGAAGGCACGGCCATGAGGTAGGAGGAGAATGAAGGGCTATTCGGTCACCTGGGGATATTCAGCTAATGGCTGGAATTCTCTAGCAGGTCCAGGATAGCCTTGGTCACATGCCCTTGGCCACAGCCGGGAAGCCAGAGAAAAGTAAAGTATTTCAAAGAGGAAAGAGTGGTCCACTCTGTGAAATGCTGCTGAAGTCACAGATGACCGGGACAGAGACGAGGCCGCTGAATTTGTCACTGTGGAGATCCCTCATGAGCTAGACGACAACAGTCTGGGAAGGGCGGAGGGATGGAAACCCAAGTGAAAAGCGTCAAGGGCAAACTGTGGGGTGGGGCAGTGGAGAGGGGGGATAGGTTTCCGCTTCATGGCACACTAGGAAGGGGAGCCAAGGTGGGACGCGTTGCAGAGTCTTCCCTTTCTGTCGAAAAATGATGTCAACACTGGAACCTTTTTTTATGCGGAGTGATCCAGTACAGGGGAACATTTGATGAAGCAGGGAAGGGAATTTGGTGATTGCAAACTGAAGTTCTGGAAGCTTCACAAGGGCATGCAGAAGACTTGGCTTTTGATAGACAAAGGGGCAATGTTTCCATTACGAAAGCAGAGTCAGGATGGACACACGGTGGTTGTTCCGGCAACAAGAAGAGGAAGGTGTTTCTGACTGCCTGCTGCTGTTTCCTCAAGGTCGTCTAAGGCAAAATCTTCAACCGGGAGGGGGCTCGGGGGCAGGGGTGTGTGGGAGGTTTGGCGAGAAAGCCAGGGAACACAGCTAAGAGACCCCGACAGGGACACGGTGTCAGGAATGCCAGGCAGAAATGCTAGCCACTTGTGAGCCTGTGACAAAGGGCATCCGACTTAAAAAACTTCTAATGCTTCCCTCTGACAAGAGCCTAGGTGGCGTCCACTCTTCCCAAGTGAGGAAACTGTTACTCCAAAAGCTTCGACAGGAGAACGAAACACTTCATCCACCCAAAGCCATGTCTTTTGACTTCCGGTTTGCCAAAGCAGAGGCATATTACTATCGACGACATCAAGAAATAGTGCTGGGAGAGGCGTGGAAATACAAAATGGTTCCGGGGTGGGAAATTAAAATAGAGAGAGAGAGACCGCACAGTGAAAACACAGGAGATGCTAAAAAATGGGACTGTTTAGTGCCTGAGAGGGAGCTGGGCCAGATAGAGAGGTACATATATACCGAGCCGAACGGGCCAGAGGCCTCGGAGAAGGCAAGCGTCAGCCCCTCTCTCAAAGGATGCGCAGCCTAACGGTCTTCCCCAAGACATTAACCCTAGGGAAGGATGAAAAGACGGACACTCTCCAGAGAACACACAAAATGAAGACCAAAAAGCCCAGGGCGTCCTGGGCCAAGGAACAGATCAAGGGGTATCAAGACCGAATGACTCGAGGGAGACAGCTCATGGAGCAGAGAAGTGAAAGCCGAGCTCGGGGGCTCTCTGCCCCGGCTCCCCCTCTCCGCAGGCCTCCGGTGCACAGGGAGGAAGTGAAGGAATTCGAGCGGGTCACAGCCTATCCGATCGCCCAGCCTTACCAGGAAACGCTCCTAGAAGTGACCATCCTCACGGAAAAGGCCAAAAAGGAGGAGGAGGTCAAGAAGCCGCTCCACAGAGAGCTCTTGAGCATGCCACCGTTTTTGAGAAGTCAGCTAGAAAAAATTAAAGTTTAAGTTATTTTCTGGATTGTTGTATTTCTTTTTCAGGTGAGCATACGTTCAGAATCAGTGCGATAAAATCCCATACCCCTGAATCTTGTTTCTAAGTGTATCAAACTTTGGGGGCGGGGAGGGTAGATCAAGCATTTCAGCTGTCTGCAGAACTATCCCCCAAAATTTGTGACTTAAAACCCCCACCATCTTATAATAGCTCGTAATTCTGTGTCAGGAATTCAGGCAGAGCCTGCCAGTGCGATCTGCCCTACACATCCCCATTAGAGCAGCTTGGGGATATTCAGGTGACAGCTGGACTAGTCCGGAGGGTACAGGCGACACGCCCTTGAGGATGGCTGGAAGGCTGGGCTCACCTGGTCCCGGTCCGGGCCTCCCTTCTTCATGTAGTTTCTGGCCACCGGGTAGCTGGCCTTATTACAGGTGACTCGACTCTGGTAACTCGTCAGACACCACAAGGCTTCTTTTGAGGTAGCTTCTGAGGTCCCAGAACGTCACTTCTGCCGTCTGCTGTTGCTCCACCAAATCACCAAGACCAGCCCAGATTCAAGGGGGGAGGAAACAGATTTTCCTCTCAAATTTGCCACCATCTTTTCATCTACCACTCCAAGGCTCTGAAAACTCCATCACCCACAGAGGAAGGCAACTCTAGACATGTGTGCTTGAAAGATTGTAATGTTAAGACCACGTATGTGATTCCATTTATGTGAAATGGCCAGAATAGGCAAATTTTGACAGAAAATAGGCTATCGGTTGGGGCTCAGGGGTGAGGAGGTGGGCGAGGAAGGGTGATGGCCACCGGGTATGGGGTTGGGGGCGAGAATGTTCTACATCAGACCGTGGTGATGGTTACAGAGCCCTGTGAAGAGACTGATGAGTTGTTTGCCAGGAATGGGTGAATGACAAAGAGTATGAAGTAAACCTCTGCAAAGCCGTTCAATGAAACGGAAGAGAGAGCTGGAGTCTGGAGCGGGAGGTGAGCCAGGGTGTAGGCGAGGAGCCAGATCATGTGAGGCCTCGGACGGTTCTGAAAGCTCAGGTTGTTCAAGGGTCAGAGGCGGTGGGGAGTCACTGAGGCTGACGACCGGTTCTGAAGATGTGCAGGAGATGTGAAGGGCAGGAAGTAAGCAGGGACAGCAGATGGGAGGCTTCTGTGGCAGAAACCTGGGCAGGATGGAGAATCAGGACACCAGATGGGGAGTCGTGACCGATCAAGGTAGAGGGGAAGGAGAAGAGAAATCCTGGGTTTCTTTTGAGGAAATAAAGGAGTAGAGGGACCAGCACAGGGATTACAGGGAAGACAGACTTGGGAGCTGTTTTATACCTATGTTTAAAACAGCCCCTATGCTGGCAATAAGCCATTGCACATACATCTGTAGCTTTTCGGAGTTGAGTCAAAGTCGGAAGAATGTTTAGGATTAATTCATGAGAGTAAGATGGGGGGAGGGGAAGCAGGGAAAGCAACAGAATTTTAAGTGCCAAATGCACAGCATTTAACCCAGGGATCTATTTGGGTAGGAATCACCAGTTTGGTCTAAAATAGCCCCTAGAGGATGCTGAGAAAGGGGGTGCCACTCCACGCGGATCCAGGACGGCCAGGAGGGGAGAATAGAAGAGATTCTTGTTCAAAGAGGAGACAGGACAGTAACTGAGGGTTCTGGTAGTGGTTTTAAGGTGAGAGATAAACAGGCATGGTTGAAGGGAAAGTGCTCGGTATGGAGAGTGGCTGACAAGCCCGAGGACCAGGAAGGGCTGGGACCCAGAGCCTGCCAGAGCAGCGACACTCGGACACTTGACTCGGTCACCAGATGGGAGGAGGGAGAGAGGGAGGATGTAGCAAGCTGTGGAACGGGAAAGGGAACCAACAAGGGGCTAAAAAAACATCAAGAACAGGCCTGAAGGCCCAGCCAAGATCAGAAGCTTGGGAGTCGCGCCTGTCTGGTTGTCCTCTGTGTGCACACAGGGGACCGCTGATGGGAGCTGTGGGGATGGTCGTTCAGGCTGGCCTGGCAGAGGACTGAATAGTTTCTTGTGTGTAAATCACAGGCTGAATCATAGAAAATGGCTGATATTTGACCATGTTTTACCTACACAAACAATTTCATACAGTTCAATCCAATATTGGTTGACTTGACCAGCTAACTTTACATTTAGCTAAAGAGATATAAAAAGAACCATAATGATCTGTAGGCCATTGACATCCTAACTAAAAAGGTTTCAGTGGAACAGGACTAGAGAAAGGCCAAACTCTGGCATAATCAGAAAATAAAGAGTAACTACAAATATTTGTGAATATGGCAGTGAATTTCCTTTAATCAAAGACAACCAGGACCAATTCATTAACTATCAAAAGCTACATTTTACTAAAAACAATCTGTCTTTAAAAATGTTTAATCATACAATATATACAATACATGCTGCTTTCCTGTTTGGATTTCACTATCCAGTTGAGTCCTAAGAAAGAGGAAAAAAATAGCTGGTTAACAGTTTATAAATAACATGAATCCGAAGTTTACTAGATATACATAAATAGACTCCGACAACCAGTGCTTTCTCAGTGAGGAGGGCCCCGGTCCACCCACATTATATATCTTACATCTGCTCTCTTTCCCTCAGTTATCTTGGAACCAAAGCAGATTAAGTATTCAAAGTTCATTTTAACTCTCAAAATTACAGAAAATTTGAGTTAGAAAAATAAAACCTTAACAATGTTCTAATTCAAAATCTCCCCCCCCCCATTTTACAGATTGGATTTATAGACAAAATGAAGCTGAGTGAGATGAAGTCATCTCAGTGATTTTAATGTTTATTTTTGAGAGAGAGACAAAGTGTGAGCAGAGGAGGAACAGAGAGAGAAGAAGACACAGAATCCAATCCGAAGCCGGCTTCAGGCTCTGAGCTGTCAGCACAGAGCCCGACTCGGGGGCTTGAACTCACGAATTGTGAGATCATGACCTGAGCCGAAGTCGGACGTTTAACCGACTGAGCCATCCAGGTGCCCCCTCCGTGATTTTAAAGTCAGGGGCAGAGCCAACAGAATCCAGGTCTCCTGACTCCCACCCACAGCAAATGCCCGATCGTCACTAAGATTTCCTTCTAGCATGTTCTCCTTCATAAAAATTGAAGAAGTGTTTCACAGCATAACTCGAATTTAAGAAACGCCCATTTACTGACATCATTCCAAGGTAAATCTGTCCTAATCCTCCCTTTCTACTTCGTAGCTATAAAATAACCAAAACAAATCGGACACTGAACACGACTGATGGGAGGGTTCAGTATTCAATTTATCTAGTTTATCAACTTGTTGGGGCGGGCGGGCGGGGGGGGGTAGGAGGAGCCAAGCCAGGAACACACTCCTGCTCCGCCCCTTCAGAACCCCGAAGTAATCCAAAGAAGGGGACTTGCAGCCACTAGGTGGCACGCTGCCTTTCCCATCAGCACGCACAGTTCTAGGACTGGGGCACTAGAGGGAGGCAAATCCCAATTTCACCAGAATGCGAAAAAGGAAGGTGGTTTGGAATGCTAAGTAACGTTTCATAACATAGGAAATGTTACCTTTGCTGGCGTCAGGCGCTTAGCCTCTGCTGGCTCTGGCCTGAAGCAATCACAGGTTCTGAGATCTCAAAGGTCTTCACGATCTCCTGGTGGAGAACAGAGAACATTTTGGGCACTGGGTTAACGGCAAATGCCGTTTGGGAGACAGGACTACCCCGGGGAAAGGGGCAAGGGGCAAGGCTTTACCTCCCAGTCTCGGTAACTCAAAGCTATGATTCCTTGATTCCTAATTTGGGTGTTTTGGTCAATTCCCTCACTTTCTTCATTAATATTAACGGGCTCTGTTGGAAAGACAAGTTTTCAAAGGTTATCGAATCACAGGAGGTAGGCTGAACGTAAACTGTGGAACAGGAACGAAGCCTGTATCGAAAAGACACTTATAATATTACATACTTATTAGGATCCCACGCATCGTTGACTTGTTATAGTGTTGTAGCAAGTAATCCATTTGCTTCCATTTTTAAAAAACCCCACAAGATGGAGTGACACGTTGCAATCATTTAACAACCTCTGCAGATCTAAGTACTAACCACAGAGCTGAGCCCCAGTGAGTCCGAGAGAAATTAAGAGCTTTTAAAGTAACAATAAAGGCAATGGATGTACTTGATTCTCTGCAGGAGACCTTAGGAAACAAAGGACTCATGGAGCCCGGTGAAATTATTTGAGAAAGATTCTCCCAAGGAGAGGAGGGAGGTGGCTTCAGGGAAACATAGAAGGAAGGAAAGTACAATAGTAACTGCAATTACAAACATTCTAGATAAAAACTGGAGGGACTTTCTTGTCAATCTTTAAGGCAGTAAGTGTTGAGTCAACGATACAGATGAACCCTCTGGCTTTAAATGATGGCGATATTTTCAGTAAAGATACAGCAACGTAAAAGTTTGATACCTAAAATGCAAACTCATTTACATTTAGAAAGCTGCATTTCATGAACTCTAATAACACATATGTTTTCTCAAAAACTAATCTTAACATAGTATCCTTTACCTATTATTGGCAGTCGGTCTTGGTCAAGCTTTATTCTTGCAAAACCATCCTAAAACACAAACATGATTTTAGATTTGGATTCAAAAACCGATTTAAAAAATTAGATCCAAAACCTGTAACCACTGGATGAAAAGCATTATTCCTTAATTAGAAAGCTCCATATCCCAGACACTCAAAATGTACCATAACAATAATGAGATTACGTAGACAAGATACATGGGGCTTCCCTCGGGTTTCTGATCAGCCTCTATCCTGAGGATCTGCTAAATAAAACCGAAACTGGCTTATCTCTTTAACTGATTCATGCGTATTTTTGAACACTCCATATTTTATCAGGTGTTAGCTCATCATCTACCGTTGACAAAATACGCCTTTGTTATCATCTCTGGGAAGATACTCTGGTCAATACAAGATTTTTGTTTAAGGTTAAAATCAAATTCATCTTACATATGCAGCAGTGCAACCTGTTACAAGACTAAAGATAGGTCTAAAGTATACTTCTTTTCTTATATTTCAGTATATTTTTGAGTAGGGTTTTTTTTGAACCTTCTATTTTGAAATAATTTCAAACTGAAAGAGCTACAAGGCTACTATAAAGAACCTTTATAGTGTATGTATTTTTTAAGTTTATTTATTTTGAGAGAGAGCGAGCGTGTGCCCACATATGTGACGGGAATGGCAGAAAGAGAGAATCCCAAGCAGGTTCCACAGTTAGCACAGAGCCTGATGTGGGGCTCAAATCCACAAACCGTGAGATTATGACCTGAATGGAGATCAAGAGTGGATGCTTAACCAACTGAGCCACCCAGGCACCCCTCCCTTCCTATATTCTTTACCGAGCTTCACGAAGTTTTTCACCAAGTTTTTTTCACCAAACTTCACTGTTAAAGTTTTGCCACATCATTTCACTCTCTCTACATATTCATTTGTAATTGTTTTTTAAGTTTATTTATGTTGGAAAAGAGACAGCAAGTGGGAGAGGGCCAGAGAGAGAGAGAGAGAGAGAGCGAGCGAGAGAATCCCAAGCAGGCTACACACTGTAAACACAGAGCCTGATGCAGAACCCACGAACCTTGAGATCATAACCTGAGCTGAAGTTGGGACACTTAACTGACTGACCCACCCAGACACCACTGTACTAGTAATTTTTAAAAAAAATTTTTTTAATGTTTATTTACTTTTGAGAGAGAGAGAGAGAAAGAGAGAGACCGTGCACATGAATGGGGGAGTGGCAGAAAGAGAGGGAGACACAGAATCCGAAGCAGGCTCCAGGCTCTGAGCTGTGAGCACAGAGCCCAATGAGGGGCTTGAACCCACAAACCATGAGATCATGACCTGAGCTAAAGTCAGACGCTTAACCAACTGAGCTACCCAGGCACCCCAAATTTTTTTAAGTTTATTTCTTTATTTTTGAGACAGAGACAGTGCAACTGGGAGAGGGGCAGAGAGAGAGAGAGAGAGAGAGAGAGAGAGAGAGAGAATTCCAAGCAGGCTCTGTGCTGCCAACACAGAGGCCGATATAGGGCCTGAACTCACAAAACCAGGAGGTCATGACTTGAGCCAAAACTAAGAGTCCTATGCTTAACAGGCTGGGCCACCCATGCACCCCTCCCGTATTAGTAATTTTTATGAGATAATAAATGATAGCCTGCTCCCTTTCCTTAGTACTTTCAGTATAGGATTCTTGAGGAGAACAAGATCTTTTCTTACCTAACACGGCAACTATCAGATGTGGGCAATTTAAATTTGGGAAATTGAACATTTATACCACACTGTTCTCTAATTTATAGTTCCATACTCAAACTCTGCGAATCCTTTTTATAAATAATTTCCAAAATGTAAAAGCAAGCTCACAACTTCTTTTTTTAAGATTACTTATTATGTTGAGTAATCTCTACACCCAACGTGGGGCTCGAACTCATGACCCTGAGATCAAGAGTCATATGCTCCATCGACGGAGCCGGCCAGGCGCCCTTCGCGCACAAATTTTCAGCTAGTTTCTTCTGCCTGTGTGCCAATGTTTTGCTACAACGCAAATACATACATACATACTAGTTAGTACAAACACCTCTGCCAGCTCCCACCCATAGCTTTTACTATGTACCCTCTTAAAAGCTGTAAAAGATAAAAAAGAGAAATAATCTTAAATCTTACCCTTATAATGAAGGAAACATGAAAGATGTTTTCCACTGTTCGGGGAAAAGAATGTGGATCAACCACAAAGTCAAAGAAGGACATAGGAGTATCAGCTGCAGACGAAAAAGAAAAAAAAAAATTCTTCAAAACGGGAAAGATGCATTTTGCTATCAGTAAGACCAATATTCTCTTGTGTGCACAGAGGAAGGAAATGGGCCCTCAACCTGCTGTTGGGAGTATAAAGGGATACGGCCCTTCTGGAGGCCAATTTGGCCTATTATAAAATACATATGCCCACTGATCTGGCAACCCTCCTCCTACACAAATGTCGGCAGGTGCGTGCAAAGCTGTGTGCCAGGATTCTCTGCTACACCGGCTTTCACGAGAGTAAGATGCTACAAAGAACTTCCACTCGTCCACTCACGGGGGACTTGTTCAATGTATTTATGACACAGCCCTACAACGGGAATCACTGGAGAGAAGGGCGATCTACCCGTATCGACGTAGAAGAATGTCGACGTGGAAAACTCAGGTTGCGGAAGAACGTGTATATTAGGATTAGCTTTGAAAAAAGCAAAACCAGCAAAGATGCCCAACTTACTTATGTGCATAGTTACGTAACTGACATAAAGCTAAGACGATCTGAGCACGCAAGGCACGCCATACAAGGGGCTGCCTCTAGGGAGCGAGAAATGGAACAGGTACTTGACTCTACCGCTCTCACTTCTATGGCACCTTTTGTTTTGTAACAGAAAAAATACCCCATCTTTTAAAAACAAAAATGAAAAGTTACTTTGCCAACAACCTCACATGGGATATCTAAAGGAGAGAAGCTGCGTTACATATATAGGCCGAAAAGCAATCAAAATGATTCAAACATTGTACAGAACCGAAAATGCGTTTTGAAAACTAACTTCTCATCGAAAGGGACATGTGTCTAACTGATAAATACAAATTGCTCTACTTGAACTTGGTATCATACTTACGATCCTCTCGGAAATAGGTCTGCAATAATCCCAAAATTCTTTCCACTTCCTTTTCTGTTGCTTCTTGATGAGATTCTTCCATTTCACTTAACTGAAAACACAAAGTCGTTACCAGACTGTTTGCGTTTTCTGCCCTCTTCCGCGCCCATATTCGTCTAAATGTCTTTTATTAGGGATCACTACCAGTTTTGACCCCCATCTTCAAATTTACAGTTAAAAAAAAAACAAAACTTTGTTTCAGTTAACATTTTTCTATTAATTTTTTAACAGAGGAGTTAACATGACCAAATCGACCATGTTCAGGTTGAACATAAATAAAATAGCACAACACAAAAAGTGGTTCAGAACCGTGGTTCTCAACTGGGAGTGATTTTTGCCTCTTGGGGACATTTGCCAATACCTGGAGATGTTTTTGGTTGTCACAACTGGGGATGGGGGAGGAGGCGGCTACTGGCATCTAGTGGAAAGAGGCCAAGGATTGCTATGGGGCCTCCTGCATCGCACAGGACAGCCAATCATGACGGACAATGTTCCTGCCCCCAGGGCTAACTGTGCTGAGGCTGAGAGCCCCTGATCCACTACAGAAAGGAATTAAAACTAAGACAAGGGTTAACCCGGTAAAACGTTTAAAAGCTTAAATTATTTAAGTGATTATTTAAGTAACCAAACCTGACTCCAGACCCTAAAGCTTAGAAAAGATGGCCAAATTGCATGTATGTTATATTAACAGCTACTTTAACCGTAGGCATTTTCAGAAGACAAACCTGGTCAGGCATGGTCTTCTTCTCTTCTGTCGTGGGACCTTTTCTCGGACGATCGCTTCGTGGCTTTGGCACAGGGAACTCTCCTTGTATTGAACCCAACCTAATGAAAAATATGCTTTCATGTCCTTTTTTGTTTGTTTTCTAAACCAATTCCACTAACTGGAAGCAGCTCCCACGGAATGGTCAGATTCAGACCAGGCTTCAGTGCTGTATGAGCTGACATCACACCGAAACTCTGGTCGGGTCTGTGACATCCTTTCTGCTCCCTCTGTGTTTCTCAAAGAACTCCTAGGAGCTTCTCTCAATTACAGATACCTCCTCAAACACCTTCATATTTTGCTTTCGACAGCAGACCGGTCAACATGCCTGTGGTCTTCCCAGCTAGCCTACTGTGTTCTTGGCAAAGCCAACTTCAGATCAGGGAAGAAGAACATGTGGGGAAGAGGAGAAAACAGCTCCCCTGGGGGTTAAAAGCCTCTGGACTAGGGGTGCCAGTGCCGAGGCTCACAGCCTCGGACTACGGAACATACCTGTCTCGGGAGAACAGTTCAAACAGAAGCCATGGGATTCTTTTCCCCTCTGGACTCCCCGTACCCCCTAAAAAAGGCCCAAAGGCAGACTTAAGCTACAGTAATAGATGTACCACGCAGCGATCACGGCCCCGAAAACATAGACCCGTGTGGTCCCTCCGCCTGAGGAGATCAAAGGGTGCAGTGTAGATGGACAGATCCAAATCCACACACACGTGTCCATTTCAGCGCAATGGGGTGGATCCCACAGCATCATACTAGAATAATACTGTGGTGCCGGGAGCGCATGTGGGCAGAGGTCTACCCAGACGTGGGAGTGATCTGGTTGCGATCTCTGATCTTGCCTTCTATCTGTCCGGAGAAGTTACTGGAGGCTTCCAAGTTAGGGTCTGGGACATCGGCAAACATTCCCAGGTGGAAAAGATGGGGGAAGACATTGTAGGCCAAAGACACAGCAAGTGCAAGGGCACACAGCTGTAAGCACTTCACTGTGGGTGCAACTTCGGCAGGATGAGGAGACAAAGTTTAAGGCACAGCACCAAAGGCTCCCTTTAGATCTTGGGATTTAGGACAGAGCCAAGAACTCAACAGCAAAAAACAGAGATTTGGACTTTATCCTGTAACGAAGAAGTGTGACCTTTATGCTGTAATGGAGGCAGTGCTAACTGCCTGTGCTAACTGAAGGCTTTTTAAAAACCTAGGCCTCGCCCCACACCTGTGCATCTCCAGAGCCTTCTAACTGAGGCGCTACCACTCTCGGGAGGTTTGCAAGGGTAAATCAGAACAGACAAACCTCCCAGGAGCTATATAGCACTTAAGAAGAAACAACATCAGAAAGAATCTGCTGGGGGACACAGCCAGGGCATTTGAAGATGGTCTTAGAGAAGAACCAGTGAGCACCATTCTTAGTTTCTCCAAAAGGACTGAACTAGGAAATGAAGACAGAAGCTAATGTGAGTATAAAAAAAAAACAAAAAAAAACTTTTCAAAACTAGACCTGTATCCAAAAACTCAACCAGGCACTTATGTGACCATGACTCAAGCAGGCTTCAAGTATAGGTCAGTTGATCATCCGACAGGAAATTACAGTAAGTGGCACTTTACATACATTGGTAGGATCTGAAGATACTCTCCATAAGAGGTATCGTCCTCCTACATGGTAAGGATTAAAGGTGACAAAACAAAGCCAGACGTTTTGCCCCAGACCGGAAGTCTCACATACTAGGAAACAAAGGAGCCGGCAGGGCACCTAGTAAGAGGTCCTGGCCCACAGCCTTCCCTGCTTAAATTAAGCAGGATGGGGCGCCTGGGTGGCGCAGTCGGTTAAGCGTCCGACTTCAGCCAGGTCACGATCTCGCGGTCCGTGAGTTCGAGCCCCGCGTCGGGCTCTGGGCTGACGGCTCAGAGCCTGGAGCCTGCTTCCCATTCTGTGTCTCCCTCTCTCTCTGCCCCTTCCCCGTTCATGCTCTGTCTCTCTCTGTCCCAAAAATAAATAAAAAACGTTGAATAAATTAAGCAGGATGAGGATCCATCCACATCGAGATTGTATGGGCTTTTCAATCAAAGTTTACAAAGTCTCCAAACAATGGCATCATGACTGTCACCTCCACAATACCAAATAATGTTTGTTTCCTACAACGAAAAAACAACTTAAGGTTTACAAATGACTGGTCTGTCAGATTTTTAAAATAATCTTACAGAAAGTGGAATGTATGGGTTTTATTAAAGGTGTTTTCTGCTGTTTTGCCTGATATTTTCCAGGAGTCATAGACTATGAATTCAAAATCAGAACTATCTTCATCACGGATGAGTTCTTCAGCTTCTAGCGGATTTACACCCATATGTGTCAGCTACAAAAATGAAGGGAAACAAAAAACCCCAGTTAAGCCACAAGCAATCATTCACCACATCAAATAATCTGCATCAGTAAACTTTAAGAGGCCAGAGGCAAAGCCTGTTTTCAAGGCCCTAACACGCTGGCTAAATTTCTTTCGATACAGATAATTTCATACATAAATTCCAACTTTCAAAGGCAGAAACACGAGAATGAATGAACTTAGTCCATCAAAGTATTAGGAAAGCAGTTCCGGCATACGAATCCGAAATCACATCCCAAATCAAAGCCTCCAACACAGAACAGGCCAGGTTTAGCTGGCTTTCGGATTTTCATTTTAGCCAACCTCCCAGAGACCACTACTCAGCTTGCGCCTCAGTATATCCAGAGAGCAGTGGCCTAGCGTCAGAGAATCACTCATCCTAAAACTGCCTTCCTGCGAAGAGTTGCCAGAAGTTTAGTAATTCTCTCATCCCCAACTATCTTACAGAAAATGACAGCGCTTTGATTACATTATAGAATTATAAAATGCCTCCAAGTTATCAAATTAAAACAGTAATATCAAATATGAACAATCACAACGCTCTCAAGGAGCTGACCCCTATTAAAGGCAATCAAGTTGTAAAGAAAAAGGCTGCAAGAACCAGATCAGGGACATAAGGTCGGCATCCATCACCCCCGCCCTCTGCCACCTTGTCTCCCCCCCCACACGTGGGAGGACGGGTCCGTTTCTGTCTGGTCCAGTCTACCGGTCTTTTTTTTATAGAACCTATATTTGATGTACTCAGAAGGATCTTCCCCACCCAGCCATCACAGAGCTATTAATTTAGGGTTTTACTCTGAATGCCTTAAAGACTTCCGGAATTTATTGTGATTTGTTCAAGTACGCAGCTCACTTGGATAAATACCAGTAATTTTAAAAAAGACAACCCAGTATATATGGTCATTTTATTTGTTCAGCTGTATGTTAGTGTGCATTTTCCAAATGCATTATGCCTCACAATAAAAAAGTTAAAAAAGAAGATTTTACGGTTTTCAATGTAAGTTAAATTTCAGTTTTAAACCATTTAAGGTTTTAAAAACAACAGAAAACTCATCTGCCCCCTGCCTTTACAAAAGAATGAATGTATCTGGTCCGATCTCACAGTACTAAATCATTTTAATAGCCATTTGACAAACATTCAGTCAGAAATTCAAAGGTCTAGCAGAAATGCTAGGACAGAGCTTCGCTCAGAGTAAAACCAAAAAAAAAAGAAAAAAAAAATCAACAACAGGGTAAAATGCACGGTCAGCTTCATTGTGCCTTTTTTGGTAAATCCACCAAGGAAAAAATTTTTAATTTTGGGTAACAACCATCCAAAAGAAAGGTAAATAAAACAACCACAAAAAGACCCACAAAATAGCAAAACCCTAAGCATATTCATGTGGTTCCCATTTATTCTCAAAGACAGAGGAGAGGGGCACCTGGGTGGCTCAGTCGGTTAAGCGTCCGACTTCGGCTCAGGTCATGATCTCATGGCTCG